TGATGACGTGCTTCGTGCGGTGCCGTCGTGTCGCGACGACGCTTCACCATCACCATCACCACATGTGCTGCTGACGAGCGAATCTTGGTCGATTACACCATCGTCTCCAGCACATCCACCGCCATCACCCTGCACGCTGGTGGTAGCCGTGCGAGTTGATGCCACCACATCCTGCTCTGCTGCTGTGGTCGCTGCTGTGGTTGAATGTGGCGTCTGCACCACCCTTTCGTTGCCATCACCACCATTGTCGCCACCACCGTCATTGTCACGTGTTCGCTGCTGCTCCTCCTCCCGCGCCATCTTGTTCACGCGCTTCAGCTCCGAGACCATCGCCCTGGTGGTGGTGGTAAATGTGTCAACAGTGAGCACAGAGAAGTGGACGTGCGTGCATGTGTGCATGTGTATGTGTGTGCGACTGCACGTGGTACATGCAATATATGACATGTATGTCACGCAGCGCATGCGCGCTCACTTGACGTTTGGGCGCTGCTTGCCTGATTCCTGGAGCGTCGTCTTGTTGAAAGGGAAGATGCGAACAAAGTTCCCAATCTCGTACGGATACAGATCGTCCACCTGTGCACACGCGCACAAATTCAGGTGTGAGCATGTGAGAATGAGCACGCACAAACACACACACTACAATACACGCACACACTACAATACACACACATTCCCCATTCGCCTGGATGTACTCATTGTAGGGAGAGGACGACTCACGGGTACGCTGTGCTGCTGCTGCTGCTTCTTCTTCTTGCTGCTGGACGGGTGGCGGCTGGTGCGGCGGCGTGTTGGGCGCGTCCCCGTCGCCTCGTAGTTCAACGCACGCACAATGTCCCTGGTTGCAAATGATGATGATGTCGTGGTGGTGGTGGTTGGTGTGGTCATGTGTGAGTGGTTGAGACTCGTACGCCGCTGTGCAAAACGCAGCACAAGCTCACACACACAAGCTCACATATACACACACAATGCACGCACACATACACACAATGCACGCACACATACACACACAACACACGACACGACTGACTGGATGAGCGGGATCTTGACGTCGCGGTCCTGTTGGCAGTCGAGGCCGAGCGCCGGGGAGAAGTTGACCTCAATCAGCCAGGGCTTCAGCCGCTCATCAAGCAGCACGTCAAACCCGTACAGCTCAAAGCACGACGACTGCTGCTTCACCTGGCAGTGCGAGGTTTGTGTTTGTGTGTGTGTGTGTGTGTGTGTGTGTGTGTGTGTGTGTGTGTGTGTGTGTGTGTGTGTGTTTGTATGTGTGTGTGTGTGTGTGTGTGTGTGTGTGTGTGTGTGTGTGTGTGTGTGTGTGTGAGTGAGTGATGTAGTGACATGCACCGTGAGTCACAGCATACCGAATCACACCAAATCGACAAAACCAAACCAACGCAACCCACCCCCAACAAAATATGACAAGCACACTCACCCCGGTGAGACAGAGCAGCGTGTAGATGAAGATGTTGGAGACGCGCCTCCAAATGCGTTTGTCGTCGATGTTGTTGTCACGAAAGTACTGCCGAAGCTGCCCGATGGTCCACTGGAGAAATGGTGCACGTGTGTGGTGTTGTGAAAGTAGTGAGGGGATGTGCGTCTGCGGGTTATCGACGTGTCGTACCGACCTCACACACTCACTCACTCACACACTCACACACTCACACACTCACACACTCACACACACTCACTCACTCACACACACACACACACACACACACATGTGCGCACCTTGCAGCCTGCGCCAGCCGCATGGGACGACGACGATGGTGTTGATGATGGTGTCGTTGTTGATGTTGTGGTTGTCGTTGTGGTGGTGGTTGTTTTCTGCTGCTTTGTCTTTGGGTTGTGCTTGTTGATGGAAGTGTTGGTCAGGTGGCAGTAGAGATCGCTCAGGTCCGACAGATTGTACTCGCTGGTGCCAAACCGCGCAATCCCTGCGCACAAGCGGAAGGGACGCAAGCATCGTGGTGATGATGCGGAGGATGGTGAATAAAGGTCGTAGATGTGTTGGAATTGGTGCTATCAAGACTTGAAATCTGCAACTGAGTGGCAAAACAAGTGCGTTCAAACACACACACACACAGACACATACACACACACACACACACACACACACACACACACACACACAAAGTCACGCACCATCTCGGTAGGCGTAGACGACGAGCGGTTGGAAAGACGTCACAAGCACATACAACCGCATGTCCTGAGCAGGTATAGCAGTGCCAGCACGTGTGAGGCTTGCTGTAGCGAAGAGGTAAATGCAGGCATGCTGTGGTAGTAGCGTCGTTGTAAACCATTCACACGTCGCAACACACACACGCACGCACACGCACACACACACATATACACTCACTCACTCACTCACACGCACGTACACACTCACAAACACACACACACACTTACACACCACCGCGCTCACGCCCCCCCCCCCAGCGCTGTCCCTCAGATCAACCGGAAGCAACGCACCATCTTGAAGCCGTTGATGGTGAGCGGGCGCTCTATGTATTCTTGGATGACGGTCGAGCACGAGAAATCAAGATCCTCCAGCCGCCGCAGCAGGAAGATGCCCCCGTCCCCGCGACGAGTCCGACGGCTGGCAGGCAGGTGTGTGTGTGTATGTGTGTGTGTGTGTGTGTGTGTGTGTGTGTGTGTGTGTGTGTGTGTGTGTGTGTGTGTGTGTGTCGACTCTTGCGTTTTTATTATCTGGGGTGGATGAGACGTGCGCTTTCGTTGCAGATTCAGGTGTGATTTGCCTGTCATCCGATTCGTGGAAATGAAGCCAGGCGCCACACAAAATGATGATATTATGAGACAGCAGCGCCTTGTGCAT